GATGGGTTGATGGGTTCAGCAAACCACCATGGAATGTGTATACCTATGTAACAAACCTCCATGTTCCGCACATGTATCCCAGAACTTAAAGTATGATAATAATAGTAAAGAATTTTATACATATTAAAAAAGAATGAATGAATTTTGAAATGTGTCCTTAGAAATTTTAAAACAGCATTTTATTTTTTAAACACACTGATGCCTTCTATTTCAAATTGCGGACGTTTGTTTTTACATGAAAGATGGTTGGCTTTGATACGTTCTGCTGCTCATCATTGCATCATTCTTATCATGTATCTTTTCAGTAAGGCCTTCCCTAACCATCTCATTTAAAATTATAAACCCTTCCATGTCATTACCCATCTCTCTTCCCTGCTTTATTTTTCTATTACTTTTGAGTGCCCTATGTGATATACTTATTTAGTTTATCATGGCTCTTTCCCCTCTTCCTCATGAGACCAGAGACCTGTCATTTTGTCCACTGTTGTATGCCCTGAGCCTGGAATGCTGCTTGGCCTGTAGTAGGTGCTCAGGAAATTTTTTGTTGCACGAATAGAGTGAAGGTTGTTATTAGCAATTGTAGATATTAACTCATATTTCCAATGATCATCTTGATAATTTTAAGCCTTTTTGCCTGAATTTGTATTCAACTGTGTGAATGATGAAGCCCTCAATTACGAATAAGGGAAATGCTTGCCTGTGCTTGCATTGGTCATATATCTTCACACCACAGTTTTCCTTTTAAAACCATAGGGTCATGTTGTAAGGGTTGGCTTAGCCAGAACTAGATAGTGCTCTCTGGAAGCCTGTCTAACTGGGCAGGTGCAAACGATTATGTGCTGGGAGAGGCTGAGTGCAAATGAGAGCAGGTGGTTTCCCCGCCCTATGGAGGCCACAATTTGCCCTGCCTCCCCCTTGAGCTGGGACACAGAGCTCAAGAGGGAGTTTGGTTTGAGTGAGGTTCTTAGTGTCGAACCATCTATTAAGTATTAATAAAGATTGATTTCCATTGACTTTTAGGTACAAATCAATATAAGCAGAATTCCTAGTGCGTTCTTTTACTTCTGTGGCCCACTGAGTACTTTCAAGAGAACCAGGAGAGAGATTGCATCGAGGGCCTGGCTGAGGGCAGCAGAGAGGTAAGGACTGATCAGCTTCACCTGAGAAAGTCTGGGTGGGCAGTCTCCCAGGCCTTCCAATTTGAAGGGTTCATCCCTTATCGGGAAATATTTTTTCTGCTATGCTTATTATTTTAAAAAGTTCAAACAGGTCACACCCTTCATCTATTACACCACTACTTTGCCAGTGTTGAAAACAAGTCACTGACATGCCATAATGAACATTTTTAGGCTTGTCTGTTGTTAACTGTCTCTGCTTAGCCAAAAGGAGGGACCAAGTAGACTGAAGTTGTACTATTACAGGCATAGAGATTTGCCCATAGTGAGAATTATTACAATTTAGAATGTGTCTCTAATCGTTCCCATTTCTATACGTGCGGTCTTTGAGGAAAGACATAAGTGGGCTCTTACTTGGCACAACATTTCTTTGGCTTCTTTCACAGTCTGAGCTCCGGAGAAACTGATTTTGTCTTAATAAAAATTCTATAGAGAGACCGTGGCCTTAATTCACTTCAACTGGTGGCAGTACAATCGATATTCTGAAATAGGCAGGTAAAGCATTTCCTATTTTTAAATTGCTTGTCTTACCTTTTTATTTTTAAACCTCATGTTTTTGTTGGGAAGCAGAGACTATGCCACTCACCCCAGGTAAACAGTGAATAGTTGATTGTATCTGCCTAATTCCAGCTGATGAAGGCCATGCTCAGCAGAAAGAATGACGCTAGAAATAAGTATTTTTAAACCTGTGACTTGGCAGCACTGTCTACTTCAGAAGGAGGTGGGCAATTTGTAGTTTACCCACCATATCGATTTTGTACAAAAGCCAGTTAACAGGTCCCACATTTATTGAAATGGTCTTCTAACATCCCTTACAAATTGACGCCACCTCCAGGAACGGCCTTGTTGTTGGTCCTGTAATCCAGCTTCAAAGGGATAGTTTAAATTATTTGTTAGAGTCCCGTGTTGCCTTGAGACCTAATTATTCAAACTCAGGGACCGTAATCTAATTGAATCATTTCAATAAGAAATTATGATTTTCATCTAAGTTTTCATTTAATACACTCCAGTGAATTACACTGAGGTTATTCCAGTATCATTTCGACTTCTGCAATAAAGGCATCTCTATATTCACAAATCAGGGCCAAATCCTCATATGTAGCTGAGTTCTTTCAAAGCAGAGGGCACTCTTTTACCTAATCTCTTTCTGAGTGTGCTTCTATGCCATGTTTGCCCAGTTTGTGTATATATGTTCGTGAAATGGGACCAGTACACTGAGCTTTGTATGAAGTGAGTATGAAGTGGTATGTCACATATGTGCTAAGTGATCTGGACTGCACAGAGCTAAAGCATTCATTTGGCCATCTTGGCAATCAGTACTGACCACCTCGACTGTATGCTTAAGTCTGGAGTTTGCGTTAATTACAAGGGTGGCCACAGTAAAGAATCAACTGCCTCAGGATTCTATTTATATCATTCAGATGGGCACAATCTTGATCAACATTTAACATGGACTGTGCTCTGAAAATCTGAGCTGTAATATCATAAATCACAAATTCAAAGGGCAAGGGAGAGAAACAAATACAAACCTAAAGGTCCCAATTTCCATAATAAAGTATAAATAAGACTATATTCGTGTTATAATTTTGAGATTTCTAACATTTTCCTATTGTGGTAGAAGGTACTTGTACAACTTGGACTAAATTTTAAAAAGAGAAAAAGCATTAATCATATGCTAATTAGCATGTATCATTAAATGTTATAGAGTGAGACAGGAAGCCTTCCTCCTTATAAATGGCTCAGTCCATTTCTTCTACACTGTCACATATTTGGCCATTTCTCTCTCTCTCTTCTCTCTGATTCAGTTCTTTGCTGTGCAGACTGCAAAATATAATAACTTCTAAGCAGTGTGTAAAACAAAGTGCTCAATTCACTTTATTAAAATATCCAATAATAATTGATTTAAAGGCAATAAAATGTGTTCATTAGAGGGTTTATATTCAAGAAATATTGAAAGTATACCTAAAACTGTCACTTTTATTGTGAATGAACAGGATAATATAATTTGAAAAGAGTGTGATCATACTAAAGATTTGTCCTGCAGCATTATCTGATAGCTCGTAAAGTGCTGAAATTTAATATGATGCTTTCAGTCAGTTTAATTGAAATTTAATTGCCACTTTGGGCAGAAGGTTTAGATCTGATCAATAAAATATTAAAGATTTTGTGCTTTCGCTTGGAACGGCTCCTTTAGTGATGCATCAAGAGGACCCTATATTTTCGGAAATATTTGTTTGTTGTAGTTCACACAGTGCTCAATATCACTTTCTAATCTGAAAGTTTTAATGTGCTGTGCAGACAAATAGTGGAAATAATAAAGTAATAGTTGATCCATTTAATTACAACACGATGAAAGAAATAACGGTCACCTTCAGATTCATGAGAAAGGCATTAATGTAAAAGAGCAATAAATATTTTGAAATGTCAAACCTCAGAAAGACAGAGTCCAACTTGAGCTGGGTTGTAAATCAGGCAGAGGGAAGGACCTTGAAAAAAAGATGGTTCTTTGGTATTTTAGAAATAATTACTAATACAAAAAGGGTAATGATGAAACTATAAATTACATTAAAAAGGGCCATTAGAGGAGGATTAGTTTATAAAGCTGAGGGATGGTTCTTAAAATTGTCCGGCTGGTTATTTCTACTTTTCATTTTATTCAGGAACCCCCTGCTCAATTATCTGATTATTAATAAATTAATTGATCATGACTTTGCACTTCAAATACTAAAGTCAAGTTAACTTTCTTCTTTTCAGAGATTCCCATGGGACTTCCACATTAATTTTATTTTAGGAAGGAAGAAAGTTAAAGGTTTCTTAAGATAGGTGAGTAGTAAACTGAAGAGTAACTTTAAGCTACGTTTTTACTAATATGTCTTAAAATTATGATTTCTTTTAGAACTATGTTCCAAGGGTGACTTTGATATTTCTGTGGTTATATTTCCAAATGAACTTTGGCATATTTCTTTTCCTAATGATCCCTTATTACCTGTAGAACTTTTCGAAGATATTTTTTTTTCACTCACCAGTCTCCTATAAGATTCTAAGTTTAATAACGTGGTATGTTTTTTTATTTGGTTCAGTATATCTCTGAAGTATATTTTTTGTTTACAACCTTATCTAGTTATCTGTATAACAATACCAGTTATCTGTAATGACTTAATTACTCTTTTCTTCTCTATCCGCTGTCCCAGATTTCTCTTGGCTAATTACCTGAAATCACTATTGTTTTTAATCTTACTACCTTATGGCAACGGATCATTTTATTTTGAAGCAGACACAGTTTTTTTCCTGCGACCAGTCAAATAAATTGTATTTTTGTGATATTTAGATGCTGGGCAGTATTCTGGACCCTGGGAATACAACAATGTCTAAGAAACACATTCTTGGCTTCAAGGAGCTTAGCTTCTAGTTGCTGAGAGAAAATAAACACACACACATAAAGAAGATAAATTCAGTCTATGGCCATACCACCGTGAGCCGGATCTCGTCTGATCTTGGAAGGTAAGCAGGGTTGGGCCTGGTTAGTACTTGGATGGGAGACTGCCTGGGAATACAGGGAGCTGTAGGAAAAAAAAAAAAAAAAGATGAATAATTCAAATCCTGACAAGCACTATGAAGGAGATGATATAGGTTAATGAGGAAAGGGTGACTGGTGTGTATTTGTGTGTGTGTGTGTATGTGTGTTTATGTGTATGTGTGTTTGTATACTAGCAGCTTTAGCTCCTTTTCTGAGGAGCTGTCATTTAATGACAGCAGAAGGCATCCTTATAAAGATTTGGGAGAAGTCATTCTAGGCAGATAAAATAACAAACGTAAGAATACTGGGGCTGGGCACAGTGGCTAACACCTGTAATCCCAGCACTTTGGGAGGCCAAGATGGGTGGATCACCTGAGGTCAGGAGTTCAAGACCAGCCTGGCAAACATGGTGAAACCCCATCTCTACTAAAAATACAAAATTAGCCAGTTGGCGCATGCCTATAATCCCAGCTACTCAGGAGGCTGAGGCAGGAGAACTGCTTGAACCCAGGAGGCAGAGGTTGTAGTAGGCCGAGATCATGCCAGTGCACTCCAGCATGGGCAACAGAGTGAGACTTGGTCTCAAAAAAGAAAATAATACAGACATAAACCTTATTTTAGGGTACATGCAGAATATTAGTGAGGCAATTATACAGTAACCAAGGTGAATATTGGGAAGAAATGACATCGAAAGGGAGGCAGGAATGAGATCATGTAGGGATTTGTAGGCCATAGTGAGAAGTTTTGACTTTATTTAAGTATAATGAGAAGCCACGGGAAGAATTTAAGCAGAGGCAAGCCGGTAGTGATGGAATATGTATATATGTGCCTGTTGGGAAAACTAATAGGTTTGCTTGGCCCCTGTTAAGTTAGAGATGCCAACTGTGATATGTCAAGGAGGCAGTTGGATATATCAAGTGATATATATCAAGGAGGTGGTTGGATCTAGGAGTTTAGAACTCAAAGAGAGGTCTTAACTTAGGATACAAATTAACTTGGGATATAAATTGAGTTTTATTAACATATAGATGATACTAGAAAATAGATGGGATTATTTGGGGGATTGTAGGTAGAGAAGAGAGAATCAAGGACAAGGCCTTGGTGATTACTAGAGATCTAGATCTATATCTGACAGAACAGGGGAAGCCAGGAAAAGAAAATTGAGAAGATGTGACCAGTGAAGGTAAAAGAAAATTGGGAAAGTGTGGTATTATTAAATCTGAGATAAAGAAAATGTGCTATGTGTACACCATGGAATACTACTAAGCTACAAAATGGAACAAAATAATGGCCTTTGCAGCAATGTGGTTGGAGATAGAGGCCATCATTCTAGGTAAAGTAACTCAGAAATGGAAAACCAAATATCATATGTTCTCACTTATAAGTGTGAGCTAAGCTATGAGGATGAGAAGATAGTTTTCAAAGTAGGTCATTGAAGACCTGATTTCTGGAGTGATAGAAAGGACTTGGTGCATTGAGAAGAGATTGGGGAGATAGAAATTGGAGACAGTGAATATAGGCACAGTGGCTCACACCTGTGATGCCAGCAGTTTGGGAGGCTGAGGTGGGCAGATCACTTGAGGTCAGGAGTTCAAGACCAGCCCAACCAACATGGTGAATCCTTGTTTCCACTAAAACACAAAAATTAGCCAGGCATCATGGTGGGCACCGGTAATCCCAGCTACTTGGAAGGCTGAGGCAGAAAAATCGCTTGAACCCAGGGGACAGAGGTTGCAGTGAGCCAAGATTACACCACTGCACTCTAGCCTGGGTGACAGGGTAAAACTCCATCTCAAAAAAAAAAAAAAAAAAAAAAAAAAAAGGTTTGATGCAATGAGAGCAGAGAAATGAGAAATGGGGCAGAGGCTGGAGAGATACATGGATTCAAGAGAGATATTCTTTTTTTAAATTTCTATCTTTATATATTCTTAAATATATATTTTCTCTCTATTTTCTACATATAAGAAATATTTCTCTCTCTATAGGAAATATGTAAAGAATTGGCTCACATGGTTATGGAGTCTGAAGGCTTCAGAACCATTTGGCAAACTGTGGAGACACAGGAGAATGGAAAGAGTAGGTTCCAGTCAGGGAGTCTGAAGGCAGAAGAAGACCAACCTCCCAGGTAAAACACAGTGAGGCAGAGAGCACAAACTCTCCCTTACTAAGGCTTTTGTTTTATTTAGGCCTTCAATAGATTGACTGTGGCCCACTCACATTGGGGTGGGCAATCTGCTTTACTCATTCTACCAACTCAAGTGTTAATCTCTTCCGGAAACACCCTCACAGACACACCCAGAACAGTGTTTAACCAAATGTCTGGGCATCCAGTGGCTCAGTCGAGTTGACACAAGAAACCATCACAGAAGGCTTTAAGCAGACAGCTTTGAGGAGAGAAAAACTCAATTTCATAAGCACCCAAATGATCATCATCATGTATTAAGATTTATAATCATAAATAAAGGGAGTCATTAAGTGTAGATACATTATTTTCTCCAGCGATGCTCAATGATTTATTTGCAGACATCGATTAAATAAGTCAATCAATGTTGATGTATTGCCAGCTTAGTACAAGGAGGGCAAACGGGACAAGATAGTTAAGGATGCTCACAAGGGGGTGAGTATAGTGACCACGCAATCTAGGCTGGATTAGGAGGAAACTGAGAAGATCAGTGGCAAGCTGGAGAGTGAAATAAGTGGTGGGAACCATTCTCACTAAAGTCATACAAGTATGAGAGTATTAGCATAAGTGAACTGAAAGGATATATAATAATAGAAGATGATTTCCAGAAATTTTTTTGGTTTTGGAACATAGCAACTAAGAAGTATTAGGCCCTTCTTCCCATGAGTGTATAATGTACTTAAACCTATTGATATTCACAAATAATGAAATATATGCAAGTAAAATATATGAGGGAGAAGAGGTATCAATTTGAGCAGCTTATTTGATGCATGTCCTTTGAGATAGTTTGGATGTCCCTTCCAAATCTGCAATGTTGGAGGTGGGGTCTGGTGAGAGACATTCGGATTATGGATGACTTGTGACATCTCCTTGGTGATAAGTGAGTTCTTGCTTTTAGTTCACATGAGATCTGGTCATTTTAAAGTGCGTGGCAGCTCCCCACCTTGTTTCTCTTGTTCCTGCTTTCCACACATGATGTGCCTGCTCCGACTTTGCCTTCCATCATGCTTGTAAGCTTCTGAGGTCTCCCCAGAAGCTGATGCCAGAGCTGTGTTCCTATACAGCCTGCAGAATCATGAACCAATTCAACTCCTTTATAAATCATCCAATCCTCCGGTATTTCCTTATAGCAGTACAAGAGCAGCCAAATGCATCCCTCAACTCATAGGCCCCTGTAGATCTCAGTTTTATACGTGAAGGACACTTTTGCTAACAGATGACTGTTGAGGGTGCTGGGAAGGCTCTGTTTATTCATTTTCTCCCATTCCTATGCGGCTGTTGACTGCAAATACCCCGAGGAATTTCATACAGTGTTTTGGAGTAGTTCATGCTGAAGATCTCTGAACTTCAGTTTCAGCTGTTAACGCTACGATCCCAGCTGGTAGCACAGAAAGTCTCTTAGATTCAAGGGATTCCAGACAAAGGCAAAGGTGAAATTAGAAAGTGAATCTTACATATGCAGATGGAAAATGGCATGTGTTTAAAATTATTGACTGGAGGCATATAACAGAGTGTTTCTTACCTGAGACCCTATTTTTTAAGCTTACTAGGCAACTCCTTTTTTCTCACTTACTTCTTAAGCCCAGCCACCCCGGAAAAATAAATGATAAACCACAAATCAATTCAGTTTTAACAACGAGATGATCACCTGATTCATGGCTTTGTTCTAGGCATTAAGATAGACCAATAAAAGCTGGTAAGAGATATGAGCCCAACTTGAAGAAGTTTACAGTCTAGTGACCTAACAACTGAATAATTTCCACTCTGTCACAGTCAATAAATATTGAAAACCTACAGCAACATGTGTGTAAGAGGGACGATTTTTGTTTGCTCCTGGGACTCAACTCATTGTGCAAATTAAGACTCCACAGAGGGAGGATAGAGAATCAGAAATGTTGTTAAACATTCTGGGAGGGTGAATTTGATCTGCAAAAGTCTTGCTGAGCACCAAATGGACAGTCATATTGCCTTTCATCCCTAACCATGTATGTGTGTATATGTGTGTATGTGTGTGTGTGACTGACTTAAATTTTGGCTTCATAGAAAATCTTTTAAACACATTGTGTTTATGATAAGGATATTGTTCATTATATGATAGAGCACCTTATTTGTGTAAATGCTTACAGTTTCTGGTTGGCTATATACAAACTAGTTGAACCTATTCATGAAAATTGGCTCATTCTATCATGTATTCTGAAAATTGCAAGGTGGCTTTACTTTTTTCAGTTGACTGCCAGAAATCTTGGAGCCAAATTTATGGCCCATCTCTAATAAGCATATAGATTCCATACTATGTTATTGCTAGCTTCCTTTTTCAAAAAGCAGAACATGTTAATTAGCCCATCATTCAATCATTCAATTAATTTAATCAATCATCTTCATAAATAGAAGGCTAATAGCTCAAAGTACTTTGGAGTCCCATGGAAGCTGAAACCTGTACACAGGCCTACTAGACATTTCTAAACACTTGTGAGATCTCTGCTAGCCTAATTTAGAGCTGAGATACCTCCCCAAACTCCTGTATTAAGATTCTTTCTTATATCCAAATTCTTTCCTGTAATAACTTGAGGATTGTCCAGCTAATGCTGACATTATTTGTCCTTGACTTCTCAGAAACAGACCTGATTTAGAGTTTGAATTTGTTAGGACTCCACGCTCTACTTTCTAAAGGGCATGCTAAACTTCTGGAATTTGTATTTGAAGTTCCTCATAGGATTTGTCTGCAACATTTGTAGTTTTACTTGAGACTGTTCTAGGGCCTTCCCGTATTATAGTTTTTGACTCTTGATTCCGTTAACTTTTTTTAAAGAATAAAAAAATCTGAAAGAGATATATTATTATTAAATGAATCCTGGAAATACAAAACAAACTAGAAATAAGAGGAAACCATTCCTGATTCTATCATAGAAAGACAATCACTGCTAATATTCTGATGTCTCTTTCCTTTTCTTTTCATTCATAGACTTTTCTAGTAACTGTTTTTCAATGTTTCAAGTATGCTCCAAATACTAATTGCTACGTCACTCTAAATGTGTCTATTGTGTGATGAAATGGTACAATGGTTAAGAATGCAATCTCTGGAATAAGACTGCTTTTTAAATGCTGGCTTTTTGACTTACTGTGTTTGATCTCAGGCAGGTTATTCTAATATCGCATGCCTCAGTTTTCTCATTTGTAAAATGGGAATAATAACATCCACCTCTGTCATGGTCATGCCTATAATCCCAGAACTTTGGGAGGTTGAGGCAGAAGGATCATTTAAGCCCAAGAAGGCAAGACCAGCCTGCGCAACATCGTGAGATCTCATTTCTACAAAAAATATAAATATATTAGCTAGGCATGGTAGTGTACTTCTGTGGTCCTAATTACTTGGTAGGTTGAGGTGGGGGGATCACTTGAGCCCAGGAGGTCAAGGTTGCAATGTTCTGTGATTGCATCACTGCACTCCAGCCACAGCAACAGAGGAAGACCTTGTCTCAAACAACAACAACGACAACAACAACAAAAACAACAAAAACCAATACTATACACCTCAATAAGTTCTTGTGATCGTTAAATAAGTTGTTGCATATGAAAAACATAGAAGAGTGGCTGGCACATAGAAAATACATAAATTTTAGCTGATATTAATTAGCATTGTATCTGTATATTGGGAGGATATTTTTCCTGTAGTTTATATATTCAAAACTTTATTACAAAAGGATCTACAATGAATGCAAACAAATCAACAAGAAGAAAACAATCCCATCAAAAAGTGGGCTAAGGACATGAATAGACAACTCTCAAAAGAAGATACACAGATGGCCAACAAACATATGAAAACATCACTAATAATTAGGGAAATGCAAGTCAAAATCACAATGTGATACCACCTTACTCTTGCAAGAATGACTGTGATAAAAAAAAAATAGTACATGTTGGTGTGGCTGTGGTGAGCAGGAACACTTCCACACTGCTAGTGGGAATGTCAACTAGTCCAACTACTGTGGAAAACAGTGTGGAGATTCTTTAAAGAACGAAAACTACCATTTGGTCCAACAATTCCACTACTGGGTATCTACCTAGAAGAAAAGAAGTCATTATATGCAAAAGAGACTTGCACGCATATGTTTTTTTTTTTCCCATTTATTTATTATATTGCATTTTAGGTTTTGGGGTACATGTGAAGAACATGCAAAATTGTTGCATAGGTACACACGTGGCAGTGTGATTTGCTGCCTTCCTCCCCATCACCTACATCTGGCATTTCTCCCCTTGCTATCTCTCCCCAGCTCCCCACCCGCCACCATCCCTCCCCTATTTCTCCCCAACTGACCCCAGTGTGTAGTGCTCCCCTCCCTGTGTCCATGTGTTCTCATTGTTCAACACCCGCCTATGAGTGAGAACATGCGGTGTTTGATCTTCTGTTCTTCTGTCAGTTTGCTGAAAATGATGGTTTCCAGGTTCATCCATGTCCCTACAAAGGACACAAACTCATCGTTTTTGATGGCTGCATAATATTCCATGGTGTATATGTGCCACATTTTCCCTATCCAGTCTATCATTGATGGGCATTTGGGTTGGTTCCAGGTCTTTGCTATTGTAAACAGTGCTGCAATGAACATTCGTGTGCACGTGTCCTTATAGTAGAACGATTTGTAATCCTTTGGATATATACCCAGTAATGGGATTGCTGGGTCAAATGGAATTTCTATTTCTAGGTCCTTGAGGAATCACCACACTGTCTTCCACAATGGTTGAACTAATTTACACTCCCACCAACAGTGTAAAAGTGTTCCTATTTCTCCACATCCTCTCCAGCATCTGTTGTCTCCAGATGTTTTAATGATCGCCATTCTAACCGGCGTGAGATGGTATCTCAATGTAGTTTTGATTTGCATTTCTCTGATGACCAGTGATGATGAGCATTTTTTCATATGTTTGTTGGCCTCACGTATGTCTTCTTTTGTAAAGTGTCTGTTCATATCCTTTGCCCACTTTTGAATGGGCTTGTTAGTTTTCTTCTTGTAAATCTGTTTTAGTTCTTTGTAAATTCTGGATATGAGCCCTTTGTCAGATGGGTAAACTGCAAAAAATTTTTCCCATTCTGTTGGTTGCCGATTCACTCTAATGATTGTTTCCTTTGCTGTGCAGAAGCTGTGGAGTTTGATTAGGTCCCATTTGTCTATTTTGGCTTTTGTTGTCAATGCTTTTGGTGTTTTGGCCATGAAGTCCTTGCCTACACCTATGTCCTGAATGGTTTTGCCTAGATTTTCTTCTAGGGTTTTTATGGTGTTAGGTCTTATGTTTAAGTCTTTAATCCATCTGGAGTTAATTTTAGTGTAAGGTGTCAGGAAGGGGTCCAGTTTCTGCTTTCTGCACATGGCTAGCCAGCTTTCCCAACACCATTTATTGAACAGGGAATCCTTTCCCCATTGCTTGTTTTTGTCTGGTTTGTCAAAGATCAGATGGTTGTAGATATGTTGTGTTGCCTCCGAGACCTCTGTTCTGTTCCATTGGTCTATATCTCTGTTTTGGTACCAGTACCAAGCTGTTTTGATTACTGTAGACTTGTAGCATAGTTTGAAGTCCGGTAGTGTGATGCCCCCCGCTTTGTTCTTTTTGCTTAGAATTGACTTGGTTATACGGGCTCTCTTTTGGTTCCATATGAAGTTTAAGGTGGTTTTTTCCAGTTCTGCAAAGAAGGTCATTGGTAGCTTGATGGGGATAGCATTGAATCTGTAAATTACTTTGGGCAGTATGGCCATTTTCACGATATTGATTCTTCCTAACCATGAACATGGAATGTTTCTCCATCTGTTTGTGTCCTCTCTTATTTCGTTGAGCAGTGGCTTGTAGTTCTCCTTGAAGAGGTCCTTTACGTTCCTTGTTAGTTGTATTCCTAGGTATTTTATTCTCTTTGTGGCAATTGTGAATGGAAGTTTGTTCTTGATTTGGCTCTCTTTAAGTCTGTTATTGGTGTATAGGAATGCATGTGATTTTTGCACATTGATTTTGTATCCTGAGACTTTGCTGAACTTGCTTATCAGTTTCAGGAGGTTTGGGGCTGAGACGATGGGGTCTTCTAGATATACAATCATGTCGTCTGCAAATAGAGACAATTTGACTTCCTCCTTTCCTATTTGAATGCCCTTTGTTTCTTTTTCTTGCCTGATTGCTCTGGCTAGAACTTCTAATACTATATTGAATAGCAGTGGTGAGAGTGGGCATCCTTGTCTGGTGCCACATTTCAAGGGGAATGCTTCCAGTTTTTGCCCATTCAGTATGATATTGGCTGTTGGTTTGTCATAAATAGCTTTTATTATTTTGAGATATGTTCCATCGATACCTAGCTTATTGAGGGATTTTAGCATAAAGGGCTGTTGAATTTTGTCAAAGGTCTTCTCTGTATCAATTGAGATAATCATGTGGTTTTTGTCTTTGGTTCTGTTTATGTGGTGAATTACGTTTATAGACTTGCGTATGTTGAACCAGCCTTGCATCTCTCAGATGAAGCCTACTTGATCATGGTGGATAAGCTTTTGATGTGCTGTTGCAATCGGCTTGTCAGTATTTTATTGAAGATTTTTGCATCTATGTTCATCATGGATATTGGCCTGAAGTTTTCTTTTCTTGTTGAGTCTCTGCCGGGTTTTGGAAGCAGGATGATGTTGGTGTCATAAAATGAATTGGGAAGAATTCCCTCTTTTTGTATTGTTTGGAATAGTTTCAGAAGGAATGGTACCAGCTCCTCCTTGTGTTGTATTTGACCGAGTGTAGAAAGTTATCACAAGACAAAAGTATGCCAGATTTGTAGGGTCATTTATTATGCCGGCGACCACAGAGGACTCACGTCTCTCCAACCTGTGGTGGCAACAGGAGGGTGCCACGATTTTTTATACCCGAAAAACCACCTTGGGAGTGGGGTGAGGGGCGGAGATGGGGATGAAAAGGCTTCAGACATTCCGAGGGCTAGTGGATTCTGTAAATTACCTGCTGGGCAGAGGTGAGGGTGGGGGTCTCCGGACATTCCAAGGGCCAAGGGGACTTTTGTCATTCCGTTTGTTACTTAAGTGGTTTACAGAAGTCAAGATATACATTTGTTTACACATTATCTGGTTAAGGTGGAAATCACAGACCTTAGTTACTTATTACAAGCCACAGGAGCCAGGATGGAACTAGCTTGGGCTGCTTAGTCTGGCAATTGCCGGTAAGCAAAGGCTAGCAATTCTGGCAGTTACTGATAAGAAAAGGTAAACAGCTTTACATAGTTTTGAGGAACAAACTGGCAGTTCTATTCACAGAGGCCAAGGACAGTAGTTATTGTAAGGAGAATGGGGCAGCCATTTCAACTTATCTAAAAACAGTTTTGCATTTTATAAAATAGTTTTGCTCTGGTTCTGGCTCTAGGCCAGCACAATATCACACTTGTATGTCTGGTAGAATTCAGCTGTGAACCCATCTGGACCTGGGCTTTTTTTGGGTGGTAAGCTCTTAATTGCTGCCTCAACTTCAGACCTTGTTATGGGTCTGTTCAGGGTTTCGGCTTCTTCCTGGTTTAGGCTTGGCAGGAGGCAAGTGTCCAGGAATTTATCCATTTCTTCCAGGTTTATTAGTTTGTGTGCATAAAGTTGTTTGTAATAATCTCTGATGATGGTTTGAATTTCTGTGGAATCTGTGGTGATATCCCCTTTATCGTTTTTTATTGCATTAATTTGGTTATTCTCTCTTTTCTTTTTTATTAATCTGGCTAGTGGTCTGTCTATTTTGTTGATCTTTTCAAAAAACCAGCTCCTGGATTTATTGATTTTTTGAAGGGTTTTTTGTGTCTCTATTTCCTTCAGTTCTGCTCTGATCTTAGCTATTTCTTGTCTTCTGCTAGACTTTGAGTTTTTTTGATCTTGCTCCTCCAGGTCTTTCAGTTTTGACAATAGTGTGTCAATTTTTTATCTCTCCTTGCTTCTCATATGGGCACTTATTGCTATATATTTTCATCTAGAGACTGCTTTAAATGTGTCCCAGAGATTCTGGTATGTTGTGTCTTCATTCTCCTTGGTTTCGAAGAACATCTTTATTTCTATCTTCATTTCATTGTTTATCCAGTCAACACTCAAGAGCAAGTTGTTCAGTTTCCATGAAGCTGTGCGGTTCTGGGTTAGTTTTTGAATTCTGAGTTCTAACTTGATTGCACTGTGGTCTGCGAGACTGTTTGTTATGATTTCCATTCTTTTGCATTTGCTGAGGAGTAATTTACTACCAATTATGTGGTCAATTTTAGAGTAGGTGTGATGTGGTGCTGAGAAGAATGTATATTGTGTGGATTTGTGGTGTAGAGTTCTGTAAATGTCTATTAGGTTTGCTTGGTCCAGGTCTGAGTTCAAGTCCTGGATATCCTTGTTAATTTTCTGTCTGGTTGTTCTGTCTAATGTTGACAATGGGGTGTTAAAGTCTCCCACTATTATTGTGTGGGAGTCTAAGTCTCTTTGTAAGTCATTAAGAACTTGCCTTATGTATCTGGGTGCTCCTGTATTGGGTACGTATATATTTAGGATCGTTAGCTCTTCTTGTTGGATTGATACTTTTACCATTATGTAATGTCCCTCTTTGTCTCTTATGCTCATGTTGTTTTAAAGTCTAATTTATCAGAGATGAGAATTGCAACTCCTGCTTTTTTTT